GATGACAAAGGTAATAAAAGGTGTATGCCTCTGTTGTTTTACAAAGAAAGAGGCATGTTTTTCATCTTCTTTACTCATCTAATCCACTATCTAAAAAATTGGCATAGGCAATGAAATGAAAAACATTTAAGTAATTGCTGTTTTGAATGGATCTAATGTCTCCTTTTTGACACATTTGGTATAACGTTGTTCTGTATTTTAAACTTAGACTTTGAAAAGATGCCTCAAAAGATACTCAGAAACATACTCAAATTATTTCTGTCTTTGAAGGCTGAGACTGAGAGGAGGGAGGTCCAGTTCTAGAACCTTAGAGGAATATGAATAAATAACGTGCAATTGAAAACTCCTTGTCCTGTTACCCATGCATATCTCATTTTTCATTAGTAGAGCTGCACAGATGCACAAAAACTAAATTGGGTGGCCAGAAGATAGATCACATTCATTTGGCAACTTGGGCCCCAATTTCTGCAAGTGGGTGGCAGAGAAAAGAGGCAACGTCCAGTTGCTGAGTCTCATCAGATTCCCGAGTCACAATCACAGAACGGATTCAGCTGGGGTTAGGGAGACAGACAGCAGGGGGACAGATGCAGCCTAGTGCTAACAGCTGACCCAAAATGAAGCTGCATTATACCTGTTAGTTATCATACTTGCAGCTCTTTCCTTGGTGTTTGTCCCCTGTGGGACATTGCCCTGTGGGTGAGGGCACAGCTTGTGCTAGGGCTGTTTTACCTCAACCTTTCTTTGAGGTGTCGCATAATTAGCTGATGCCAAGTCATTTACCTGTCTTCTGCTTGTGGAAGAATATACCTTTGAATTAGGAAACATAATTTTAAAATGGTAGCATTCTATTGTAAGAGCAAGAGAGAATAAAAAAAATCATGCCTCCCTCCTACTCCTTTTCATAAACTGCAATTCACCGGTACTGTCATTTCATTTATTTGTTTTGTTCATTCTTATTTATTCGTATCCATATTCTCAAACCCATTCTTAAATTTATAGTTAAAAAGCAAAAAATGTTGTTGTTTTTTTTTTTAATCTACTTGATGGACTTAACTTAGTTATTGAATTAGTTTCTGTTTCAATTAGAGCATGACTTTTTAAAAGAAAAGCATACACTAAGGTTTTAAAGATTAGCAGTGAAGAATCTTTCACTCATAGCAAACCCTGACAAACTATCATATCCTGTTTTATATTCTCAAATTATTAATTGTTTTCAGTTCTACCTAACACAATCAAATCAGTTCTGCATTTCCATTTCTTTCAAAACACTACCCTTCACAATGTCAGAAACTGCTCTTTTTTTAATCCTCTTTTGCTCTACTCAACCAATGCAGTATGAGGATGAAAACTCTACTTTATCTACTGAGTTTCCTTTCCTTTGCCATCTTTCAAATTGCTATGGTGAAACCCCATCAATCTTTGCTTAGAAAGCATTAATTTCTCCTGGTTTTGAGGTTTCATGCAGTTACTCACCAGCACTTTTTCAAAAACATTCAAACTCTTTCATGATGGAACATTTCTCCAGATAGCCATGGTGTTAGACTTACAGATACTTTAGTTATAGTTTTTAGTTTTTTTCTCATTTCCTCCTGTTACTTTTTCCATTACTAATTTTACTAGATTAGTAAAAATGGCAACTATTAAACTTCCCTCCAAAAATGAAAGGAAAGAAACCCGAAGTTTTACAAGAGTAGCCAAGAAATAGAGAGCCAATTTGAAGTGAAGTTACTGTTAATTTTGAAGCCTGTATATATTGAGTCAAATTCAGCACAGTAAATCTGGATTGTATTTTGGATTACATTGTAAACTGCAATCTGGCAACTGGTGTACACACGCACACAAAGTAAGAGAGCAGAAAAAGGCTGTGCATTTGAAAAAAGTAACTCTGTAAGTTCACCTATAATTACGTGGGTAACACTTATAAGTCCTTGTGGTGGGTTGAGCTGCTCTCTCAATCCCCCTCCTCAACAGGACAGGGGAAGAAAACAAGATGAAGAAGCTTGTGGGTCGAGATAAAGACAGGGAGATCACGTACCAGTTACCGTCACAGGCAAAACAGGTTTTACTTGGGGAAAATTAATTTATTTCAAATTAAAATAGATTTGGATGGTGAGAAACAAAGACAAAATTGAAAACACCTTCTCCCCACCTACCCCTTTTTTCCCCAGTCTCAACTTCACTCCTTCACTCCCAGCTCCTCTACCCCCCAGAGGCGCAGGAGGATGGGGAATGGGGGTTGTGGTCAGTCCATAACAGCTTCTCTCTGCTGCTCCTTCCTCCTCACACTTTTCCCCTGCTCCGGCATCGGCTCCTCTCCGGAGGCTGCAGTTCCTGTCAGGAGCCTGCTCCAGCGTGGGCTCTCCAGGGGCCTCAGGGGAGTCTCTGCTCGGGCACCTGGGGCACCTCCTCTCCTCCTTCTGCTCTCACCTTGGTGACTGCAGGGCTGTTTCTCATGCTTTTTCCCTCACTTCTCACTGCCTGTGCAGCATTTTGCCCTTTCTTAAACACGCTTTCCCAGAGGCGCCACCAGCTTGGCTGAGGGGCTCAGCCGTGCCCTGCAGTGGGTCCGCTGGAGCCAGCTGAAACCACCTGTGTCGGGCACGGGGCAGCCCTGGCCTCTCCTCACAGAGGCTGCCCTGCAGCCCCACTGCCAGCACCTGGGCACCTGCAGCCGGTCCGGTCCTACATCTCCTTCCATGTTATTTAACCCCAGTGTAACTTCACTGGCTTTAACAGACACAGGCCCAAATGCAGAAGCATGTACTGCTGTTTCTCTGCTATCAGTGTGAGGCCAGTGCTTCATGGTGTTCCTCGCTAGGTACTATTTTGGCAGATGCTCCACATTTTCTTGGGTTCAAAGACAAGAGCAGAATGAAGACAATGCTGCCTAAAAGTCTCCCTCCAGGATTTTTCCTTATCACATTTCAAAGGTCTCCAGACAATGGAGATGTTACAGCTTTCCAATTTCTTTTGACATAATAAAAACCACAACAATCTTTTACAAGACTCAAGTAATGTAAATATCGAATTTCTTTGTTACAATTCGGAATACAAATGCAAGGGGAGTCCTGCGCATTTCACAGACCCATCAGTATTTCCTACAGCTGTGATGATGAACTCAGAAAACATATTTCCACACTTTCCAAAAACATGACTAACAAAGATTTAAAAGCTTAAGCTTTAAAAACTTAAAAATTTGAATGGCATGGGTCACTCCTCTTCTGTTGAGTCTAATCTCTATAATCTATAAACAGTGCTTCTCCTGTGGCAGCATAACAGCACAAATGGGAAGCAAAGCCAGCTAATCTACACATCTGACTTAGGCAGTGAGGCAGACTTGCTGGCAGCCATCAATAAAAGTATCATAGAAACAACTTCCCTGTTGAAGGGTGAACTAACACAGACCAATTACCACAGGGTAGCTCAGGTAGCTAAAAGTGAGGGCTGTGGCTGGTTAGCTCCTTGGTTTGAATGTGAGTATTCGATCAATCTTTACAACATCAGACCTATTAGAGAAATATACACCTAGATCATACAAGTCAAAAGGTCTACCTGAGCCCTCACGGCCCAAAGGGACTAGTACAGTAAAGGTAGAGTTCACAACTCTCAACCCAGAGCAAAATATCTTAACTGAGGTACCACCACGACTTTGTCTCTTCCCAAGGGTTAGTCAGTTATTACCAGCACGTTATCATTACACACATATATATACCTAACCGTATACACATATAACTAATTGTAAATTATTATCAGATATTATCGATCAATTACTAATGATGCAATACAACTAGGAAATAGAAAAACATGAAATAAGAGTTCTTTTTCTCCTCTGACACATGTTCATGGCCTGCTTTGCTAACACTTAAGCAAATACTGAAATTCTTTCAATCTCGGTTGAAGTAAATGGAACATATGTAGAGTGCTGAAGTTCTCTGATGCATGGGGACCTTTTCCAAGTATTCCAAAGAGAATGGGGGGACAGACCTCATTCCTAGTGAGGATCCATTGTCAAGAAGTCCTGAAGAAAGCCTTGTTCTTTCAGTTGAATTTTACAATGTCAGTGCAGTTCATTTCACAGTAAATTCCTCAATTACATTCCTCAGCAATGTAAATAAATGCTGTTGCTCTACCATACAGTCTCATTAGACCAAATCACATGACAGCATTATATGGGCTTCCTGCTTTGCTGTTTTTGAGGGCACTATTAGCCAATTCCTTACACAGAAGGTAAACCAGTGCTCTTGCAGCTATTCCTTGCCCATTTTTCAAGTTCATTAATCTTCATAATTTAAAAATATGCATTTCAAAGAGCACTTCTGGTGTTTAAATATTTTAATTTACTGGACTAATTGATAAATTATGGTTAGAGCCGTGCTGTGTGAAAACTCTGGGAAATGCCAAATTAAATTTCACTGCTTATGTTGTCAGATAAAGTTGGTACCAGTTGTAACTTAATACTTTTAAAATTGTGTGTAAATCACTGTCTTTATTCTGCTAAAACCAAAAAAGGAGTTTTAGGTTGTGGTAAGAAGAAGCAACAATAGTTTCATGATAAATCCAAAGATGCATCAGATAATTAATTCAGCATTGGATTCACGAAGCACTATTTATGTTTGTAACCAGTTCAGGATGCCTCTCAAACTACACAACTGACTCAAGTTTTATTCAAATACACTGTATGTAATAAGGCTAATATTTCTGTTTCATAGAAAGCAGTTTCAAATATTTCCTCTGGCTGAAATAGCAGCTACTGTGCTACCTTTCAGTTTTGGCCAAAGGAGCTGGGTGGTTGCCTGTAGACACCACTCACAGTGCTGCAGCTGACTGCTACCACGCTGAAATGGATTCATCCTCTATGGTGTACAGATAATGGGGATCCCTTTCTAAGTTTATGCCATTCTGCTCAGCCAAATCTTACACATTCTATACTCCAGAACCTGTACAGGCATAGATAAAATGGTTTGATTTAAAAAAAAAATAATTTCAAAGCCGTATATTACCTTAGCCAGGTGAGTATTGATCCATTTTGTGAAAGTCCTTTTCTGCACTGACTCTTGCTCATCTGGGGAAAAAAAGGAAATCAGTTTGATTAGACATTGCTGAATCCTTTTGGATTTACATGATGGAAGAATAATATTCTCTATTGACAACAAATGCATTCTGCAGTTGCCAGAAATGCCACTATGTTTTCTTGAGACAGTTAATTTTTCCTGTTATTACCCATAACAAATACTTCATATTCTTATAATAATGCTCTGACACTTGACTATTTGTAGAGTTTCACAGCAAAGTTCAAGTCTTAATGAGTGAATGAACTGTAAGACACCATTTCAAATCTGAAAGCTGAGATAAATTTACCATCTAAGTCACATATTATAAAGGTCTGAGCACCTAGGACTTCTCTGTACTTTTTAACTATTAACTATTGCAAGGTCTGAGCACCTAGGACTTCTCTGTACTTTTTAACTAGAATCCATGTCTCTGACAGTCAAGTTGCTTCTATTTAGAAAATCATCTAGAGACTTAGAAAAAATACTCTTAGCATGCACATTTGAAAATGTTTAGAGTACTGAATTAAAATTTTGAAATTGCATTATCAAGCTTATTTCTCCTCTGGGAGATCCAGACAGAGAGGAGCCATTAGCTAGTTCAAGCAGTTCCTATACTGCTACTTACTACCTCCCTTAGACCTGTCTTGAAGCACTTGCCTGATTTATAGTGAATTTCACTGATTCTCAGATAGTCCCTCAGGGACTGCTGCCAGCTGCATAGACAAAAATAGCTCCTGAATGACCTCTTCCAACTTCAGCAGCCAGAGTCATGGCTGTGGAGGGAAGAGAATCACTGCGCCATAACCAATCCACGAAGCCCTGTCCCTTGCTTGTGGGGAATCGGGTTTGACACATGGAATAATTTCACACCAGTGGCATTCAAGTATTTATGCTGGGGATTTTTCTTTCAAAAATAAAAGGAAATACCTATTTCACTGAAAAACAAATAATATTATTGTCATCATCGGTTCTGAATGAGCACCTTCATTCCTCTACAGAAAATCCAAATAAATAAAATTGCTGTTAAATATTTATTTTTTATAAGAACACATGCATTTCCCAAAACCTACAGATGGAAAATCTAATTTTTGATACTGCCTTTGCTACTGACTTGTGCAGCACTGAACAGTGATTTGATCTCTTTCACATCTGTAAATTAAAAGGGAATATTATTTAATCCCATTCAAAGCTCTAGAACAGATAACTAATAAGTATGTAATACTACTACTAATAAGCTCCCTGATTTACACTCACATAATGCTGCTCCACAATGAAGGTACATAAAGATACAAATCGCAGCACAAAATTCATCAGCCAAAATGTTATCTTAAGTGGGACAATGATGGCTCCCTGACCACACACGAGCTCCCAAAAAGTGTTTGTACATTATGACTCAGGATTTTATATTTTCTTTACATATAAACAATATCTCACATATAAGAAATACCAGAGGAAAAAAAGATACATATCTCTTCAGCTAATCTATTGCTAGATTAGCACGCTTCATGTCTAAGAAAATAATTTTGCATTCTTGATCTTCTTTTTCTTTGATTTCATTGGGTAGGCTGTCTTACATAATTTTAAAAACATTCATTGTATGCTCAGAATCTACTTGTTGCATTGACAGGCAAGTTATGAAAAATATCACTCAAAATACTGCATTGTGCTTCATTCAATACTGACTACTTTTGGCAAGGGGTGTCTTTACTTTATATGTGATAATTTTTTCTACATGCTGGAAAACAGACTTCTCACTGTATGGTTTCTAACCATGAACAAGATGTTTCCCGTGTGACATACAGTAAATGTCAGCTTTGCTCTGACAAGCAATTATATACACAGGTAGCCCAATTAATTTCCATGGAAGTACTTGCACACTTGAATTGGGTTGTGTGTGAGTAGGTGTGGGGACGGAGAACGACCACGCACAGAATCAGTCCAGCTCTGGCTTCATTCACACCTCTGTAACTTAAAATTCCCCAGCAACCCCGATACAGCAATGGCATGCCAAAAGAAAAGAACTGGGCCTTTAGAAGTCAAACTTCTGATCAAAGAAATGAGTGAAAATGATTCCCTAATTTGCAGTTCCAGTGCATCCTCGTGATTTAAGAAGCAACCCTCTGACAACAACTGGAAATCAGAGAAGCAGCTCCTGGCTTCTAAACGTTTATCAGCAGAAGACATACTCAGTTCCAGTCCTATCAACAAATAGCAGAAATAGCCTTTCAAAATAATCTGTTTCAAGGGAATATATGTGAGCAACATATCCTTTAATATTCTTTAATAACTGTTAATAGGGCTCATAAAGAGCATACTATTAATAATAAAATTTCCTTTTTTATAGCACGTATTTTGTATAGGTTTAAAAGGAACAGATTTTACCACTGTAAAACCTATATCTGAACATAATACAAGTAATGGATTGATTTTACAAATTTCATGATAAATATGCTTTTTACAAATTTCCCTGGAAATTCATTGAACTGATGTAAACTCTTCGCAAAAGTACTGTTTATCTATACCCACAAGATGCATGTGTCATACAGTTTCTTACACTCTCCCCACTCGCAAGGACTTTCTGCTCCTTATTTGCACCACTTACCCTGCCGGCACTGAGAGAACCCGGGAAGCAGATTTAACGATGTAACATTTCTGCCACCAGCACCTTTGTAGCGAGCCATAAGCACTGCTGCTGCTGCTGCTGCTGCTGCTGTTGTTGCTGCTGCTGCGGCTGCTGCTACTCCTGTCTCGTGTAGTGCGCAGCGTTTCTTTAGAATACAGCCAGAAGTAATTTTTCAAGAACAAGCTGATTTTTTTTCCTTCACTGGAAATGCAGGCCTCTTACACAAATCCCTCCACCTGCTCTTATTGGAGAATTTGCATGAAGCCAGACCTTAAAAACATCTTTGTATATTCGTGCAGAGATGCAACAGCCAGACAAAGCCAGCTGTATTGGAAGTAGCAGTTCTGCTGGTCTCACTGCCATCATCCTTCTCCACTGTTTTCCTGTGGAAAGATTTTATTATCCGAGCACCAGCCAATCCGCTAGCGGAAACCTCTGATGTCAAGAGCCTGAATAATTCATCCAGGGACTGGGACAACCCAACTACACTGCCGATATCCTAAAGCAGCAAGATGTGTGGCTGCAAAAAGCAATGCAGTCTTCTCACCAGTGCTTTTGTAACAATATACTGCTCAATAAACATAAAAATGGCTGAATGGCATAGCCCTTCTCTAGGTTGTCATACATTTAAAGGAAAGCAGCTTTTAAAAGCAACCACTTGGGTTCACCACTGCATACTCTGTTTAGACACGGAGGTCCTTCAGCTTTGCAACTGAAACAGTGAAGTGGAAGAAATAGCAAGCAATGCATCTGAACAGACATGTAGGCCACTTAGCTTTTAATAATATATTTGAATTGTTGTACAAGAAGGATGAAACGTATGTAAGCATGCACAGAACTTTTGGGGTGCACCTAGATCAGCCTGAAACATACTCAAATTTCTGATGATACGCAGTATTTTCTATTTCATTAAATCAGAGCACCAGAGCATTTGAACAGACTTTGTTTTGCTCTGGTAAAATGAAGGCAGTTATGAAACTGTGGAGATTCATATGTTGTTCACCCACAGGGGCCAACAGAGTAGTACACAATATTGAAATGAGAATAAAAGGTCCACTTTTAGTATGCCATTACAGTAAATGTATCATTATAGAGGTCGAATTCAAATTTCTGTTTTTGTAAAACACAATGGCTCTGACAAGATCATTCTGCATCTGAAAGAAACGTTGCAAGAAAGTTTGGTTTTATTTAGTCAAATGTCTTCCTTTAATTGGCTGGAAATACCTTCACATTTTTACAAACCTTTTCTCTACTAAAGCGTCACCAACAGACTGCATTTTTAGGTTGATTACGAAAAAAAGACAAATGTAATTGGATAGATTTACTTAAAAACATTTAGAACAAATTATTTTGAAAGATGGACAAAACCAACCATGTATCTTCAGAGAGTTATGAATATGCTGATGAAATATTCATCGTGCATGCATATTATAATGACTAGCGTCATGCATATCCTATATATACATCAAGAGACAGAGAGTAGTGGCATGCTTTCTAGCAGAGCTTTTCTAGAGACAGGCTTCCTAGGCAGCACAGTCCCTGCCTGCCGGCTCTGGCAGCAGCCCCTCCTCAGCTGCAGAGCTCCATGTGCCACAGGTTTGTGGCGCGCAGCAGCAGATTGCACACCGCGCACTTCTTGCCTCAGGTGCTTGGGGATCGGACGGTGGGAAGGCGGCTGCAGCGCAGGGTTCTGCTGCAAGGTAACGCAAGGAGGAGTCTCATGCACAGAGTGAGAGACACGACAGTGCCGAGTTCACACATGTCTAATAAAAGCATCTTGATTGATTCTCAGTGACCTAATATTGTGGTGGTTTGTTTTGTTTCTTACTTTAGTAAAATTCAATTCAAGTTGCTCTCAGCTCCTCATTTTCAGCATCCTTTTTTGTTTTCTTTGGTTCTGTCCTAAAAACACCAAGGAGCTTTTTGCGTTTGTTTGTTTTCCAGGTTTTTGGCGCCTTTAAGAATACTGCTAAAACAACTTGGAAGTGCAGAAAAGCATGCCAAACCACCTGCAATGCTTCAAGATGTCACTTGAGATCACAACACAGCACAGAAAGCGGCAAACGGCACCCCGCTGGGAAAGTTTGTTTGGTCAGCAGTATGGCATAAATTCTCTAAAGCTTTCAGTAAGATATGCTATATAGCAATTTCCACCTTCGTTAAGGACATTCTTAAATTAAAGCAGCTGTAGAAAAGCTTGCAGAGACAAAGCAATAATATGGAGACTTTACTTATGAAAAGGAGCAATGTTTTAAGCTACCTAGTTTAATCAACACCTCCATAACAGATGGATTACCCCATTCGGGAGTACTGCACAGAGGCAACGCAGGCTCGTTTCTTTTCCTTTAAGTCTCCAGTTAATGTTTTTTATGGGACAATGCCAGGACAGTTTTTCTTTTTAAAAAACAACAAACAAACAAAAAACTTTGGTGGTAGCTCTAATGCTAATTCATTGTTTGTAAGTGTCTAAGTTTAATAGTAACACTATACACTTCAGGAAGAAAAAAAGGATGAGGGAGCTATGGGCAGTGGGAGCAAAGTAAGAGGGAAAAATTGATTTCAGCAGCTACTGCAATGCAGCTGACAAAAAGATTTAGCAGTACTGGTACAAAGAATGGGAATATATTTTTAAATACCTCATGCACTTAGGACTTTTCCATTTTTTATATTTTGAGGAGAAAGACAGGATTTGTTAAAGTGTGGCTTTGGCATATATGCCTCTATTGAATGTGCTTTATCAGAGACAGTGAGACAGTCCCACTGACAGATCTGTTATCTAAATTTCCAAGCTCTGAGATCTAGGTGCACACACCAGCCATAACCTGCTCCACTACTGAGCGCCAGTCTGCTTTCCATCAGTTTCTGCAGAAAGGAAATCCATGCACAAGGGCTAGAAGGCAACCAGTCATCTTTGGCCAAACCCCTACTAGGGAAAATGATGGGGATCGGGTCTCTGGGGTTCACATCGGCATACACCATTGCTCAATCTAGAGGTAACCTTGGTAGGGGTTCACCAGAGACAATGGCATACACCATTGCTCAATCTAGAGGTAACCTTGGTATGGTGGTTTGGGGGCCAAAGGTTTTATGTCATTTGGAAGAGTGGAAGTAGGGAACCCCCCCCCCAGCATACTGGTGGAATAGTTAC